CCCATAAATGTTTCAATTCATCTTTCAAATTATTTTCTCTTTTATTTTTAATCTTATTTTTGTATGATGAATAAGCAATCATTCTACCTCGAATGTATGCTTTATGTGCTTCCCATTCAAAAATTTGGGCACTTGATGTTTCTGAATTCAAATAAAAATATTATAAGGTCTCTACCTGTTTTATACAAATTCTTTTTCATTCAATAAGGAAACATTAAGATATCAATTTCTCGATACCTTAACCAGTTTCTGAAACACATATTTCAAGGTGGTTGCACTATGATCAGATACATAACAGACATCAGTGTTACATTCTTGAATTTGATTATATAGTTGACAATATTAAAAAATAATCAAGCCTTAAAAAATTCTGATGCACATTTGAATAAAATGTATATTCTCTTTTAGTTGGATACATCAAACACCAGGGGGTCTACCAAATTCAGTTCTTCCATATAAGTCTTAGTTGCTTCCCTCACTAATGATTGTTTTTTCTTCTGATGCACATTTGAATAAAATGTATATTCTCTTTTAGTTGGATACATCAAACACCAGGGGGTCTACCAAATTCAGTTCTTCCATATAAGTCTTAGTTGCTTCCCTCACTAATGATTGTTTTTTCCCTGACAGTGTATTTCTATCAAGCTCAGGATCCAATATTTCATTAAAATCTCCTCCTATTATCAATTTATCATAAATACACTCATTCAAATGTTGAAAACATTCATAAAACATAGAATCTAAATTTGGTCCATAACCATTAACCATAGCTATTGCAGTCTCTGCTGTTTTGGTACACAAAATTAAATAATGCCCATTTACATCAGTAATAACTTGTACATCCATTGGGAATCCTTTTTGAACCAGAATGGTCACACCTTTAGCTTTCATCAAAATATCTGTGACATAAACTTGTCCCACCCAGTCTTTCATTAATAGAGATTTATCCTGTTCCATTAGATGAGTCTCTTGTAAATAAGCAGTATCTGCCCTTAATGATTTTAAATATGCTAAGATTACATTTTGTTTCTTGGATTCTTGTAACCCTTTTATATTTAAACTAACTTCATCCATACATTTTATTTTGGCCCACTTATCAATATTCTTCCAATGCCAATTCATTTTATGCATCATTTAACAAATATATAAACTTTTCTATATTTAACATATTTTCTAGTTTTGCTCACAGACATAGAACTTCCATAAAGACTCAATTTAACATTCGAATACCATTCTTTTACGTGTATATAGAATCTATACTTAAACGGAAAAAAAAACACATAATTATATGCATACAAATTTAAAAAGTGACATTATAAAAAGATGAAAAGGAATCTTAAAAAGAAAAAATATATATGTAAAGAACAAAAATGTATGTAAATATATGGGAGGGGGAAAAATCACAGAAGTTGATGACTTCCCAAAGGGGGGATGGCACGGTGATTTCATCTCTCTTCTTATACTGAAAATTATGAAAGAGTTTCAAACGTTACTAATTGAAGGGAAAAAAAGTACTGTGTGTAAAAATAAGCAACAGAGTTGGCAGTATGCCCAGACCCTGTATCTTGAAATAACGAAAACACACACAAGAGTACAGGAAAAAAAAAATACTGGCATCTAGACTTAAACTGAGGCTTTTACTGTAGACAAACTCTGACTTCTCCTGCAGCAGATTCCATAGAAATGAAACACAATCAGGCTTGTCCATCTGCAGATTTAAAGATAGGATTCCTCTGCATTCAAGGAATTATCAAATTTGTGAATCTGATCTTGATGATTAATGCAGAATGTAGCTGGAAAATGCATGAAATTTTAAAGTTATATTGATTTGGCAAGACTGAGCTTTTGTAAACATCTTTCTCTTTTCTGAAACCTCTAGTAAAATCAGGATAAATTGATATCTTGCTTTGACTAGAGTCCCACTTCAAAGAAAACTTTACTGCTTCCTGGTGAAATATACATAAAATCTCATCTCTTGTGGTAACATGGAGGAACTGCACAATAGTAATATTGGAACTAGTTCCAGTCTTCCTTCTCATTAAAGGAATTTTAATCACATGGTCAATCTCGACTGGAAAGTCAATTACCAAAGAAAGAAGTTTTCTGAAAAAATCTACCATAAATTCACCCACGTTTGATTGACTTGGAGGGTTTTCAATGCCAATCACACATAGATTTTTCCTATGCAATTGTGACTCCAGAATTTATTCATTTATCCAAAATATTATGACTGGCTTGAGTTACAGTCTCATGGGTATTTGAATGATCCTTATAGTGAGCCATTTTTTCTTGCATCTATTTTAAATCACGTTTAAGCTCTGCCAGATCTTGTTGGATCGGCTTTAAGAGTTGTACCTGAGCCACAATCTCTTTTAGTAAAGTAGCAGAAGAATCCTCCTCTGCCATCTTGCCTGGCTCAGCAGATAGTGGCGTAGTTGAATTTGAGCTAGCTGTGGAATGCTTAGGTCTAGTTGGCATACTAATATGTTGTTAAAAATAAAATAATATGTAATAAAAAGTTTTATTTACCGAATGATTAAAGTTCTTATTCACACAGTCCAACAATACAGAAGTTTGAAAGCCTTTTAATCAGGAAAGAGATGAGAGACATGCACTCACTGCAGCATCCCAAATAGGAAGTCTCACTGCCGGTTTCCCCATTGACTTTGCTTGTGGGAAGTTGGCAGGGAAGGTTTCAAATGACAATCATGTGAGCACGGGACACTGCAACTGGTTGTAAGTGCAAGCTGATTGCCAAGCACCCAAATTTTGTTCATGTGACTGCAGGGGTGCTGCAATGGGCAGCGCTTCGAAGACCAGTCATAAGTCCCTTCTTTCAGCACCGTCGTAATTTGAATGGTTGCTGAACAAATGATCATAACCCAAGGATTACCTGCATTATAAAACAATATCATTGAATGATCTTTATGTCATTTCAACAAATTACCATTGGTAATTTCATAGATTTTTGTCTTCATGGGAATGCTTTGGGAGATTTTCAAATATATTTTAGTACACTTGGCCATCTTTAAGTCACTTTAAATGTCCCTGTTGTGAATGGATTTGTGTGTCGCTACCCAAAGAAAAACCATTTTTACCCAATTTTGAGTAATTTACCCAGGTTTTTGAAGCACTGTTTTAAACGGTTCAAATACAGGCAAGAGTAGGCAGGGCATATGTGCAATCACACAGTCAGTTTTGAGCAGTCACCAAAACCTTTGGAAAGTTGTCTATAAAGAATTTTCAGTAACCAGGATCCAAAGCAGCAGGTAGAAGCATCATTGGGGCACAGTCCAAAGGTCTCAGCGTCATGGGTAGGTCATCCAAAGGAGCAGAGTTTCCACAGGCAAGAGCTCAGATCACAGACAGCATTCTAACTAGCAGTACACTTGTTCCCAACATGAGAGGTCAAGTTCTCTCTGTTGCACATGGTGCACTCTGGGGCTGGATGGCTTTTCCAGCTCTGGTTCCTCATCCTCTGGCAGTGGGCTCAGCTGCTTCTGGTAATTGCTAGGTGGACCATCCTCATGTGACTGAGTATGTGAAGCTTCCTCAGGCTGAAATCCACCTGGCTCTTCCAGAGCAGGCTTCTCTGTGTCTGACTTCTCCGAGTCAGAGCTAGCCATGACATGCAGGGACAGTGCCATTGGTGGGGAAAGTCATGTGTGCACTGTGTATGCAGGATGGGAGAGATTATCATTGCTGGTCAGGAGGAAGAAAAGAGGAGTGCCCCTGATCAGCTGGTATTTTTTCTTTCAGTTTTCTGTCAAGTGCTGCCTAGGCAGTGGAGTATCTTTTGGTCAGTGTCTGTGTCATTAGAAGAGCAATGTGACTGTGTTTTGTTTTAATTTCCACGTTTGGTGCATGTCACAGACTCCTTGTAATAATTCTGCAGCCCCTCGGATTCATGGTCTCCAGTTTGGGAACTGTTGGTCTAAACCTAAAAGACACCAGAATGTACTATGGTGTCATGTGTGTTCATTACTGTAATAAGATTTGTGGTAGAATTTGAATACAAGGCAACATTTCTAAAATAATTTTCTTTTACACAGAGATGTATCATTAATAACACCCATCGTCTTGTTGAACTCTGTGTGGCAAAGCTGGCCCAAGATTGGTTTCCTCTTCTTGAACTTCTTGCAATGGCCTTAAATCCTCATTGCAAATTCCATCTTTACAATGGTACACGTCCCTCAGAAACTGTTCCTGCTGGAGCTCAGCTAGCTGAAGATGAACTTTATGCTCGTCCTCCAGACCCACGGTCACCAAAGGTATGGTGATTGAAGTTGGAACTATTAGTGAATCTTTGTTCAGACTTATATAAACAACTCTGGACTGTAACTTCCTGAGATAAGGGAGCAGTATAGAAACTGGATTTTTGTTTGTTTGTTTGTCTTGCTAGTGCATATTTAATTGAGTCAGAAAAACAGAATTTGTGCATTTGCTTCAGCAGAAGCCTGTGCAGAATGGTTTCAGAATATGATTTCAGTCTCTGATATTTAAGTAATGGTATCATTGAACAATTCTGATAATTCATCTTCACTATGTACTATAAATAGTTCTTTTTTAGAGTATTAAATTGAATAACAGTGGTTGTGGACAAAGCGCTTGAATGTATGCCCCCAAATTTGTTTTTGTTTTTCCCAGTGCAATTCAGTATATTTACTTTAGCTAAATTAGATTAGGGAACCTGGCATATTTAATCTGTATGAACACACTTGTTTTCTGAGTCAATCTTTGAGGAGCCAGTGATCCACAAATTGGAGTATATGTAACACTGGTAAACTCTTAAACTGTAATTAAGGGAATGGAGTAGGGGATTGTTCAGCCTTTTCTCTACAAGTTTTATTTCATATTTGTTTATTAGGAGAGCACAGAAATTACATTGGCATTATTTCCCTTTCAACCAGAATCCCAAGAGGGTTAAAATGCTACTGTAATGCTAAGTAGCATTATTAGTTATAGATGTTTATAGCCTCTGTCCCTATACCAAATTGGAATTAAAGTTTATAAAAGCTGCTGATATAATAAAGACAGTCCTGCAGACTGTCAGCATGGGGGTGGCTGACAAGTTGCTGAACTGGAAACTGAATTTATATTAATGTAGCTTCTGAAGCCTGGTATGTTTTCCATATCCTAAACCACTGTTTTTTAAGTCATGTTCCTGTCTTCGTTTCTGACAAAAGAAAATATAATAGTTATTCTGCCTTTAAAATGTCAATTAAAGACTGAATTTTAGGTGATGTAATTTTTCAAATTTTAAAGTATCAGTGTAATTAAAAGGATAGTAGTAAGAACATGTAAAAAAGAACAATTTAAAGATTTATTGGCTTCTGATTCAAATCAAATATATGTGGAACAACTTCTTTGCAACATAAATATGTACTTTGGTGGTAGAAATTACTTGTAAAGGAGGAAAATTGTTTTGCAGGGTTGGCTAGTAGATCTCATCAACAAGTTTGGCACATTAAATGGGTTTCAAATCCTCCATGATCGCTTTATGAGTGGATCAGCACTGAATGTTCAGATTATTGCAGCTCTCATCAAGTAAGTTCTTCTAAGGATATATTTGGAATTTGTCAACTGAACCACAGTTACTGTCATTCTAATTCAAATATCTTTCTCTATACTGGATTATGATAAAGTTACTATTATATGCATATATTTCCACACTTCTCAAAATGTTAAGGAGAGTGCACAGTTCTGAATTACAAGAAAATGAGAACACATAGTATTAATAACTGAACTCAGAGAGTGGTTTGTATCCAATAGTGGATTTGACCCTGTAGAAAACATTTCTTCTCTCAACAAATCAGAATCCCTGTTTTTTGTCAACTACAGTGGAACCTCGGTTCACGAACTTAATTGGTTCCGTGACTCTGGTCACGACCCGAATTGGTCACGACCCGAAGCAAATTTTCCCATAAGCTTCAATGTAATTACTGTTAATCCGTTCTGGCGTGGAGGACAGGGAGGCGGCTATTGCTTGGAGGGAGAGTCCCCCTCCCTACGACCACATGTCAGGGGTGGAAAGTGGCCACGGATCACGTGTCAGGGGTGGAAAATGGCCGCGGATCACGTGTCGGGGCGAAAAAATGGCCGCAGATCACGTGTCGGGGCGGGAAAATGGCCGCGGACCACGTGTCGGGCGGAAAATGGCCGCGGACCATGTGTCATGGGCGGGAAGATGGCCACAGACCGTGTCACAGGAGGGAAAATGGCCGCGGATCCTGTTCGTGACCCGATCCAGCGTTCGCGAACGGAGGCAAAATTTTGCAACCAGAGCTGTTCGTGACCCGAATTGGTCGTGAACAGAAGCGTTCGTGACCCGAGGCACCACTGTATTCCTATTTGCTCTCAGGAATAGCTTTTGGTTGGGAAACATGTAGATTAGAGACAGATCATATCAACTTGTTCAAATTAATTTTTTTTTAATAATACATAGTCACTGTTGGCTATAGTCCAGATTGCTAAACTGTTGTTACCCCCCACCCTCCAAAAAAACCCTGAGTCATATTTGTGAGCCCTAATGCTAAATTCAAAATTTCAAAATCCTTTAGGTCCTTGATAGTATATAAAAGTGTTTGTGTTGCAATTGCTACTACTTAAAAAAAAGCCTATATGTATTGCATTGCAAAATGAAAACAACTTTACTTTATAATTCTGATCTAAATACATCCTGTTCAGTTTATTTGCAAAAATAATGAATTCCTTATATATATTTTTTAATCTCTTTATTCTACCTCTTGGTATCTAGGAGCTTTAGTGATTTAACTCTTCCTTAATTAATGTACCAACTAGCATTAGTTTGTAGAAGATCTCAGTATTTCTTTATATTTTAATCAAGCAAGTTCAACTGTTGTGCAGTTAACTTTGCTTAGGAAACTACAGCATTAAGACTGAGAACAGGTTTAATTTTAGATTTCAGAGTTTCCTTAGTTAAAAAAATGCTGCTCAGGTAGTCATGTTAAACAGCCCACTGAAAAATAACTTGGGGTTTTGTATATCCAGCAGTGTTGATTTTTATGAAAACATTTGGATTGTACCTTCAGAGCTAGTTTAGGAGACTTTGTTGCATTTATATTAGAGTTTGCATTTCCTGCTTTGGTGCAGTGCTATATGTGTGAAGGCATAAAGAATTTTACATATTTTGCCTTGAATGAAGGATGTTGTAAGATCAGTCAAAAACATTTTGCTAACAGTTCTGAGCTTCAAACACTGAGGATCTTTTACCATGCAAAATCTTGCTTATAGTGATGTATTGACATTCTCACAGAAATAAATATTTGTGGCTATAGCTTTTTAGTTTTACAGTTTAACTTTTACATGAATTCTCAAAAGATATTTAAACATTAGTTTTATTAGACAAAGAATAAACACTAATTAAATACTCATTTAAGCTTAATAGAAGGTTCTTGGCAGAAAACATTTATCTGGGATAGGGGAGGTAATTCTTGCCACTGCCATTTTCTTAATCAAATGTTATCCAAATCATTGCTGAAAGTTCTATTTCTTCCTCTCCCCAAAAGTGAAGACCAGAGTGAAAGTAGACTGGAAGATTAAAGAATTCTGATTTATTCATAAACAGAATTATTTATCATAGTCTATTCAATTTATGTGAAATCTAAGTCAGTCCTCTACTAATCAACTAAAATCATGGTTTGCTATATGATTCTGGCCTGTTATAGAAATTGGCTTATTAAAGTCATCACAGTGATGGGATGGATACAATGGAAGAATAACTCTGGCTTCTTTCTTCCATGATATGTATCCCATCACAGTGATGAATTTACAGCTATATAGTCCAGCATCCTGGAACTTCCTTTAGTTGAGCTGAAAAGGTGAGAGCCCCACACTCCTACCTATACTGTATAGAAACGTCTTGCCAAAAACACCCTCACTTCTTTTCTGTCACATTGGTGACTTTGTGATTTGTCCACTCCTAGCTTTCCTCATTTCTTTGTTTTGCATTCTTAAAAACTTAATACATTGACATTTTCCTTTTCATTTCACTTTTAGGCTCCTTAATCATATAGCCTTGAACCTTTTTTTCCAAAGTGTTCTAACTGTGAGGAAGATTCTGCCACACCAAGACTCTTAAGTGACTTTTGCCCTGGAGTCCCCGTGTTGACTTATGGACTCATTGCCAGAACTTTATGCTGTAGGCTTTCCAGAATTGCTTCGTTTTTTCTATGTTTCCCAGGAAACAGGCTCTAGATATAGCCATGGATTTGAGCTTGTGTAATGTGCTGTAACCAACTGATTCCAGCTTTCATTCAGTCTTGAATGCCCTGACATGTCCTAAAATGAAGTACACAGTTTCATTTTCTCCAAAGTTACTTCTCCAGTAATTGTCTGAGTTACTGCAGAGGTTCTGCTGCCACTAACTCCAAGCAGGTGACTTGCATCAGCACCAAAATTGTAGTAGCAAGCTGGGGACAGAAAAATTGGTATAAATGCTATAAGAACTAGCACTCCAAAAATCCTTCTGTTCTATAAATGCAATAGATGACTCCAGCAGAGTTCTATCCCACTTCATTTTGTGGAACCTGCCCCTCCAGAGATTATACATTATACTCGTAATACCTCAGTCTAGCCTCTATCTTCTCTTTTCTTTCCACACTTAATCATTATCTAGCAGAAACATTGTGAATTACCTCTGCAGGAAAGATGGCTTCCCAGCTATTTTCTTTAGACTTCAACCCTGATGCTCCCTCCAAGAAATGTCTCTGAATTCAGAGCTTTTTGCTGTTCTACAAGCTTTGGACTCACAAACAGTAGCTGTTACCTGGATTAAGATTGTAATCAATCAGGTTTATCCTGAAGTTTGTAAATTCAGTCCAGGTTTCATACACAGACAAGCCAATCCATTGAGAAGACAGCATCAAAAAAGAGCAGATAGGAATATCAGTCAAAGACTGTTTTGCAGCAAGGATAATAAGAGGTTTTTTAGCTAGGATTTATGAACAGGAAGTCATTAAGGGCTACAGACTAGTGCTATTCCAGCAGTTTTAATGAGCCAAATGTAAAAGGCATAGAGAATGGGCTTGAAGGATAGTGAGAAGATCCACTATCAAGGCAACTATCAGACAAGTGTGGCTTAAGCCCTTTCCAAGAAACAAATGTAAGAAAATGCCTCAGACAGCCTTCCCCCTTCATTCACATGAAAAGAAGCACATTCGGACTTACAAGATTCAGTTACTATAACTGTTCTAATCAAAGTAGTTTTAGACCCATACGGCATTTGTTTTATAGTCTGGTCTATCTAGTAGAGCTGACATCAAGTTCCTCCCTAAATTCCAGCAGCCATTGATACTGCCAGAACACAGTTGTCCCTAATCTGGTCTGATATCTTTCAGTAGGTTGCTCCTGAGTAAACTAACCAAGTCCAGCGGTCTCTCAATGTAACCGAGCACTGCTATGTTTCTATGCTTTTCAGTGGTCTCACTTCGGGTGCTAATGTTGTTGAGGGATACATGGAGGAGATCCTTGTCTGGAAGACAGAAACAGTGAGGCCAGTTTCTGGCTTGACATCATTGTTGGGGCCTGGCAGCACAGAATCTGCTTCTTAGTATGCCACCTCTGGTCTTCCTCATCTGAGGGGTTTTTGAGACCAAGCCAGGGCAGCTTTGGACCAGCAAGAAACTGAGAGCCCTTTCAGGACCATCTTTAATGATCTTTAATTAAAACCATTTAATTTTTTTTAATTTTAAAATTTAAACCATCTTTAATGATTTGGAACCACTACAGATTCTATTCTCCTCCATACTTGTTACATTATTATTGCTGTTACCATACTCACAAGGATTCATTTTACCCAAGACCACCTCCTTGGATTTCACAGTCATTTTCCCTCCCCGCATTGAATGATTCTGAAAACATGCATGGTCTGTAGAAGACCCAAGCTATTTGGCAGCATGTATATCAAGTACTTGGTAGCAATTACAGTGCTATCCACCCCAGCTGCCCACATTATCTTTTCTCTTTATCTTTTATGTTTAATTGATTTTATTGTAATTTCTTTGATTGTTGTGAGCCACCCAGAGTTCTTGAGAGTCAAGTGGCATACAGATTTAATAAATTATTATTATTATTACTACCACTAATTTTGCCTACAGTATTGACTATATTTGCCACTAGACTTATCACCACAAATCCTCTAACCTCTCTGGTTCAGACTGCAGCTTCACTAAAATTGTTCCTAGGTTTTGTCCCATCATTAGAGCCCTTACTTGACTTGCCTCCACAATCTATTAGTCGTGCATCTCCCACTCCTCTTCTAGCATTCTCACACTAGTCAAAGCTCAGCATATTCAGAAGCAAAGCCAGGATTGGACCTAGAATTTGTCTGAGTCAGCACCCACCATAATAATGACAAGTGGTTACAGTAGATGCATCCTAATTGGAAGAGTGCATGCTGCAGACCCCAGCAATTATTTTGTCTTTGGACAGGTGAGAAGTAGAATTTCAGTATCAATGCACTGGAACAACTATTATTCTACAAGGCCTGCAAGATGTTTCAAGCCCCCCTGTCTCACAGAGTAGTATAGGTGATCAATAAAAATTTTGCAATGGTTTCCATATCAACAAACAAGATTTATTCTGTCACCATGCTTTATCTGATTCTGATCCTCTAGCATTAAGGCATGCAAAACTAGAGTTGCTTAATCTTACCGTATTAAGCAACATACAGGTGTTCTTCAGTGAATCCTTAATTATTCATCTTGACTACATGCTAAATGCTGATGTTCTTCACAATATCTTTCACTAATAGGAGACTCAATTGGTAGAACTGATTGGAGAATGTGAGAGTGCTCCGTACAAGTGATATCATTTGAGTCATATCCCATTCTTTGGTACTCACAAAATAAAAGACTCGCTTGAAAGATTCATAGCGAATATGGTTTTACAACTTAGCTCCCTTTCCTTGCACCAACAGAATTCATGCCAATATCACCAGTTGAGTTGTAGTGATTACTTGATGGTCTTTACAGCTATGGTTTGTGTACATCTTATCTAGTGGAGAATGGCTATGCATGTGTATGCATGCACACATGTATATAGGATAACATCTCCTAGTTTCTGTCCTGATTTTTCACTCATTTGCTTGATGACTCAAGTAGTTGCAGGCCTGTTAATACGGCAAATGATGAAAGTCTTCCAAAAGCCTTAACAGTACATTTGGATTATAAAAATTGTTGATCTGCCCTATTAACTCACCGTTTATTGGTTCCATGCAAAGACCGTTACAGTAGTACTGCTACCATTTCCATTGCTTTGATTGGAAGTGTCCTACTTCAGGTCATCTGCAGAGTAAAGTGTGGTCTACCTTATATGTTTTGAAACACTGCAGATTGATGATGATGCAGCTGTATGCTTTAGTACAATGTTCATCTCGCAGGACCTGTCTACCTTTCTTAAGTGTGATGCAAAGAGATCATAAAGAATAGCCATTGGTAGCTTCCATGTAATTCTTGTTATTCCAATGATTATTTATATATTCAAATGATCCTTCATTTTCCCCTCTTCACGTGTCAGTTTAAGAGTTGTAAAGATGCTCTTGAATCAAGCCAGTTCCTGGGTGATTGTATTCATGCAATTTTTTTGGGCATCATTATGGGAATAGTTTGCTGTTGTCTTTTTCTGGTGTGATTTTTCAACTTCCCAGTCTACCCAAGAGTCCTGAAATTCCCAGGTTATTAGCTGAAGCTGACCCTGCTTAGTTTCTGAGATTAGCCAGGATCAACTAGCTGCTATCACTTGCTGAGGTGCTTGTTTCAGTTAGCATAGGACAAGGTTGCAGAGCAGAACAAGGGGATTTTTGGCAGTCTGGATGACCATTGAACCAAACCAATGTACACGTAAGTAGTCTGCCATTCCTGATTTGCACATAATGCTGAGCTATGGACAGAACCATCTGAGTTTTGTAGTGAGAGTGATCCCCTTTCTACAACATTCAGATGTAGTCTTTGTGACCATAAATTACTACTGCAGTAGTTGGTGAAGATCATCAGGAAGAATTCCAGTGATGTTTATGAATTTTGGGCTGCCGCACTTTGGATATTCCTTGAAAATAGCAGAATTTTATTTTGCTATCTAAGAATGGCTTGATGACAAAGACTGGGGGGAAGTTGATTGGCCTCGCACTAAATAGCTTACTTTTCAATCAGAGTCATGATAAGTTTTGCTTTTATTAATTTTCATAAAATGCATAATATTTATGATTACCTAACATACTACTTCAAACCAGTTTTACCTTTACATTGATCTTCTTTCTTTTCAGACCATTTGGACAATGCTATGAGTTTTTAACACTGCATACAGTGAAGAAATACTTCCTTCCAATTATAGAAATGGTTCCACAGTTTTTAGAGAACTTAACTGATGATGAACTGAAAAAAGAAGCTAAGAATGAAGCCAAAAATGATGCTTTGTCAATGATCATAAAATCTCTGAAGAACTTAGCCTCAAGAGTTCCAGGGCAAGAGGAAACAGTAAAAAACTTAGAAATATTTAGATTAAAAATGATACTTAGGTAAGGATCTCTTCAGTTGTACTAATGCCTTTTTAGGAGTTGGATTGTCTTATTCTATTCCTCTTAAATTTTTATTTTAACATTTCTTCATAGGTTATTACAAATTTCATCTTTCAATGGAAAAATGAACGCACTAAATGAAGTTAACAAGGTGATATCTAGTGTGTCATATTATACCCATCGACATGGCAATCCTGAAGAGGAGGAATGGCTTACAGCAGAAAGAATGGCAGTAAGCTTATTTGCTTTAATATAGTGGGAAACTTGTACATCAGTAATGTTTTTCTGCCCATAGGAGATAAGTTAGAGGGGGGGGCTTCGAGTTTTCTTGGCAACATTTTTCACAAGTAGTTTGCAATTGCCTTCCTCCTAGGGTTGAAAGGGAGTGACTGACCCAAGGTCACCCAGCTGGCTTTGTGCCAAAGGCAGTCTAGAATTTATGGTGTCCTGTTTCTAACACAGTGGCTTTAATACCAAACTGGCTTTTAGCAGATAACTTTGGTATTAAAACATAAAGAACAATTACGGGAATATTTTAAGCTGCAGGTAAAACCAAATAGTTTAAAAGTTATGTACATCAGGTGGCAAAAACTTGGGAACAAAAGGTTTGCTGAAAAGCAGAAGTTAGCAATAATTGTCTAAATATTTTTCCCTAAAAATTATATTGGATTTCTAAAAAGGGAATTTCACCTTCTTGGTACCATAAGCCTCTCCTGTTGTTTATTCATGGTATTTTATTCATAGTAACTCAGTGGAGTGGAAGCTAGATTGTACCATGTATTCTAAGCTCAAATATGGCTTAATTTATTTTAACATTGGAAATTTATACTACACTTTCTAGTGCTGTTCTGTTTGTCTGTATGTAAATTAATCATTTATCTCAACTGCACATTATCTTAGTATAATAGATGCTGTAGTCTAGGTTGTCATAGATTTCTGGTTCTTAGCGTTGACTGTTTTCCCTAATAACTATTCACGTCATACCTTGCTACATGCTCACATAGCAAATTTATACTGTGCCTAGTCATTGTGAAATCTGGAATAACCAGTTGAGTATGCTTGTTCTAGGAAAAAAAACTGGTGAATAATATTAGTATTCCTTTTTTCCAAATTGTTATGTTTATGTCCCCCCCCCGTAAGAGTTTTATTATGCATTGCTTGCAGTCATCTAAAACGAAAATAAAGGGAATGCTCTATATACACTATTCTAATTATATCTAATATGTTCATGTTCTGTTTAGGAATGGATCCAGCAGAACAACATTTTATCAATTGTGTTGAGAGATAGTCTACATCAACCTCAGTATGTAGAAAAGTTAGAGAAAATTCTTCGTTTTGTCATCAAAGAAAAGGCCCTCACCTTGCAAGACCTTGACAACATTTGGGCTGCACAGGTAAGAGTTAACTACTATCATCTTGAGTGAGACCATCTTTATTTTGTATAGCCAGTTACAATTTGAATTGTCTATATATGGTACTACAATATTAAACTAACATTTAATGCTTTCTTCTCTGACTCATTACCTTATATTTTACAAGGGTGCAAAAAGTTTAACTCTTTTCAAGTC